ATACACAACTGTTCTTCCTCACTGTATAAAATGCAGAGTAATAAATACACAAATATAATAACCATAATAAGGAGACAACCAAGTATTAAAGCACACAAATATACTATACCATAACAAGGAGTCAATTCTTGGAGAAGGAACCCTCACCATTGAAAACCCAAGAATGGGTAGAAATTCAGTTACATAATTGGAAGGGGAAGGGAGACTTTCACTCAGGGAAAAACAAGTGCAAATCCTCTGAAGTAAAAGCAGCTACTGTCTGTTAGGGAAACTGAAATTTGTGGCTGAGATGCAGAAAATGAGGTAGAAGGCTCAAGATACGACTTGTTGTAGGCAGGGCCCAGATGTTGGAGTTCTGTTTGGGACCTGTCAATGTCTGAGTATTTATTTTCACACGGTGGTGACTTGGTCAGATCTGGTTTCCTTAAAGATGTCTTCACTGAGCTCTGTGGAGGAAGCCTTGTTGAGAGCACAGTCGGACATACTGAGTGAGTGTGGAAATCCGGGATGGCTATCCTTCACAGGCTAGAATGAGAGCGAAGATAAATGAAATATGCGTGATCGTGTGTTTAAAAAAGTATTCAGGGCTGGGTGTGTGGCTGTTCGTAAAGCTTGTCTAACAAGCAGAAATCCTCGATTGAATCCCCAGCACCAGATAAATATGGTGAGCTGGCAAAATCTATAATCTCACCATGCGGTGGTAGAACAGACGGATCCAAAGGTTAAGGTCATTGGGCAAACGCATAGGCCTGCGCGCCTTTAACACCGCTAGGATTTGCAAACACAGGAGAATTCTGTGAGTTCAAGGTCAGCCTGGGTAACGAGGAACAGAGAAGACCAAGAAAACCAAAGACGGAGCTAGGATCCCAATGTAGACTCATCCACCACCCAATCAGCTAACTAAATTACAGACAGGAAGAAGGCACCGAGCCCAATTGAGGCTCAAGCCCAGTACATGGTTGTAGGCGCGGAGTCTGCACAGTAGAGGGCATTCAAGTCTCAAAGCTTCCCGCCTGTGCTCAGCCTAGACAAAACCCCCAACCCCCTTGGCGGGTGACGCTACTTTTTTTCACATCCGGTCGTCCCTCACGCTACCCCTTGAGACACGGAGCCCTCTTCCCTGCCGTTCCCGCCTCTTCCGTGTTTTGGTGCGCACGGGTTCCGTTCGACGCAGCGGCCATTGGCTGTCGGCCGACTCGAAAGCGGCGATTGGCTGTCGCTGGTCGTCTCGCAAACGTCTCCGGGTATATGGTGTAAGGTGGGTGGGGCGCGGGCAGCCCGGCGGCGCTGGCAGGTGAGTAGGGGTTCGCCGGTTCGGTGGCTTGGCGTCCGGGGCGGCTCTCTGGCGTCTGCCGGAGGCCCGGCTTCCTGGAGCGGCTTGGCGAGGCGTCCGAACCGGGCCTCGACCTCCGCTCTCACGGTCGAGGGGTCGCTGCGGCTGGACTCGGTCAGCGCCACGCTTGGCGCCGGGGTTTCCGAGAAGTCCTCCAGGCTGGGCGCTCCGGGACCGTCTCCTTCCTCCCCGGAGTTCTAGCCGTCCGCTGAAGCTTAACCCCGCCTCACCGCCTAGGGGAGCCTTCCCCGGAGGCCTGCCTACCGTGTCCTGATCGCCCTCGTCGGCGCGCTTTGTTTTGGTTATCGTGTTCAGCCGTCAGCTCCTCGTCCCTGAGTCCTTGCTGAGGACCTGGGCCTTTCTTTTGCTAGATTACGGCTCGGAGTTCATTGGTGCCGAGCGACACTATGCACTGTCTTGTTGACGGGATGGTTTCGTACTGTGACTACCGATGAAATGTAAGAAACGTTAGGTATGGTTCCTGCGGGTTGGGTGGGTACCCCCGTGGGTACCTCCCCGGTACCCCCCCCCCCCGCCAGTCAGCTCAGAAACAAGGATGCGATACGTGTAGTTAACCCTTATTGAGCCCTAGTAATGTGTTAGGCTTTCATGGGTTAAGTAATTTAAGGTCAAAACTAAGGAGTTTGGTTCCATTTTCCTTCTCCATTTGTCTGAACCTCTCTCCCCACAAACATAACCATATACATTATGTATAGTACGTGGTAGCTTTCTTTGTTTGAGACAGTCTTTGTAGCTCTGGCTGACCTGAAACTCTAAAGAGATCCCGTCTCAAAGGCCAGCACCACCACCCCAAACCCCACCACCGTCTTTAAAGAACATTAGGGTGCATGTGTGTGTGTGTGTGTGTGTGTGTGTGTGTGTATTATGATGGGCACACATATGCTAAGGTGGAGTACAACTTTATGGAGTCGATTCTTTCCACTTCTATATGGGTTCTTGGGGTCAAACTCAGGTTATCAGGCTACTGTAACATGCATCCCCCCCCCACTGAGCCCTCTCTGTTTTGTGTTTTTNTTTTTTTTTTTTTTTTTTTTTTTGAGACACAGTTTTTCTGTGTAGTTTTGGCTGTCCTGGAACTTGCTTTGTTGACCAGGCTGGCCTCAAACTCACTGAGATCTGCCTCTGCCTCCCAAATACTGAGATAAACGGTGTACCGCCACCCCAAGGCTTCACTGAGCTGTCTCCTGTTCTGCAGATCAGCCTTGGTTTTTCAAGACAAGGTTTCTCTGTAGCTTTGGTTCCTGTCCTGGAACTAGCTCTTGTAGACCAGGCTGGCCTCGAACTCACAACGATCTGCCTGCCTCTGCCTTGCGAGTGTTGAGATTAAAAGCAAAGGCCAGCTGGAATCTTCATTTTAATATTAAAGGAGTGATGGGGTCAAGCATTGGGCAGGCAAAGCAAAGTCAGTTTGTATGGCATCCAAAGTCTGGCAAGAGATACAATGACCTACTCTAGTAAGGAGTGGAAAGCTTCTGGGTCCATGTGGGCTGTATGGAGTAAAACTATGAGCTTCGGGCTCAGCCTAACCTGACCTACCATCATTACGTGGCCTTGGATAAATCAGTTCATCTTTGTCAGCTTCAGGTTTTCCATTAGGTTTAATAGTGCCTACCTCATAGGGTAGTGTCAACAATTACATGATGCAAATAAAATGCTTAATATGAGACTGGAGAGGAAGTCAGTAAAGTGCTTGCTTCACAAACATCAGGAGGCCCTGGGTTTGATCTCCAGAGCCCACGTTTTAAAAAGTTCAGTAGCTGGTAGTGGTGGCGCAGGCATTTAATCCCAGTATTTAGGAGACAGAGGCAGGCGAATCAGGGTCAGCCTCATCTACATGGTGAGTTTCTGGACAGCCCGAGGCACGAGATATAGAGAGACCCTATCCTGTAAAAAGGTCAGTGAGTCCCTGTAATCCTGCCTCTGGGAAATGGACACAGTAGGATCCTTGGAGCTCACTGGTCAGCCAGTCTATCCTACTTGGTGAGCTCCAGGCCCTCAACAGCAAACAAACAAAACCCTCAGAGGTTTGATTCCTGAGGAACCATGCAGGTTGCCCCTCTACACACATACTGCTTATTATGGCAGGGTCTAGTGAGATAAACCTGTAATCCCAGCTACTTGAGAGTCTGATTCAGAAGGATTGCAGCACTTTAGGCTACAGATGAGTTTAAGGCGAGCCTGGTCCACTTAGGGAAAACCCTGTCCCAAAATACCATGTGTAAGGTTCTAGATTCAATCTTCAGTATCAAATACTCAAAACAACATTAAAATAGTGTTTTTTTTTAAACTTATTTACTCTTATTTCCTACACAATATCCTACTTGCATGTATGTGTGGATCTCTTGGAACTGGAGTTTCAGACACCTGTGACCAGCCATGAGGATGCTGGGAATTGAACCCTTGGGTCTTCTGGAAGAGCAGCCAATATTCTTAACCACTGAGCCATCTCTCCAGGCCCTCAAGATTTATTTTTAATAATTTAATGTGTTTTGTGTTTTACCTACACAGATGCCTGCATCACATGCCAGCAATGCCATAGAAGGACAAAAGAGAGTGTTGCAGCACCTGGAACTAGAATTACAGATGTTGTGAGCAGCCACATGGGTGCTAGGAATCTATCCCAGGTCCTCTGGAAGAGAGTCAGGGCTCTTAACCGCTGAGCCATCTCAAGCCCTACCAAAATACAAAATAGTATTGTATTTAGGGCTGGAGTGATAGCTCAGTGGTTAAGAGCACTGATTGTTCTTCCAGAGGTCCTGAGTTCAGTTTCAAGCAACCACATCAAGTGGCTCATAGCTCTCTCCAATGGGATCTTATGCCCTCTTCTGGATTAAAGGTGTACATGCAGATAGCACACTCATACATAAAATAAATAAAGTGTTTAAAAAAATAAATAGTATTGTATTTGACGTATAGTAAGTGTGAAATTCAGAACAAAAAGTTTTGTTATTCCTATTTCTAGCAAAACCAGACAGCTCGTAGGTGATAGGCCTCTCTTTGAAACTGAGTATTGCTTATCTCCCATGGGTATATGCTCTGAAGCTATTTATGAAAATGTTAAAATGTTTAGCTTAGTGTTTGTCATGTGCTCAGTATTGTCTCTTCCCAGGAAAGCAGACAGCCTCCAGGGCTTGAGAAACTGCTGGTCCCTCCTTACTGAGAAGAGCACAGGATACTGAAGAATACCGCTGACTCTCAGCAGGCTGCCATTTGCCTCCAGCAGCACCGGACTACAATCTTACAGCTCTGGATTTCTTCTCCTTGCTCTAAGATAAAGGCCATGTCACCTCCTGGAAAAGGTCCCCGGAAAGAGAACCTGGGGCTCCAGTGTGAATGGGGGTCCTGCTCCTTTGTATGTTCGGCCATGGAGGAGTTCTTCAAGCATGTCACTCAGCACCTGCAGGAACACGTGCATGGCTCCAAGGAGGAGGAAGAAGAGGACCCACTTGGTAAGGGAACAGGAAAGAGCTCAGTGCAGGTGGGAAGTCAGACTCCTAGAGAAAGAGGGCGGCTCGGGAAACAGTGCTTTAGATTCGTTCATAAAAACATTATGAAGTCGCCATATCTTGAGAATTCAGTCAGTGAAAATGTAAAGGATGATCACCATTAGAAGCAATTTGTCATGGGGGGACACATGCATATCAAATATGGAGAGCATAGGGCATCTTGTAGGAGTCAATTGTTTTCTTCCACTGTCATAGGTCCATGTCAGCAGGCTTGACACTTGCTCCTTTACCTGCTAAACTATCTTTTTTTTTTTGTTGTTGTTGTTGTTAGTGGAAAGCTGTTTTTTTTTTGTTTGTTTGTTTGTTTTTTGAGACAAGGTTTCTCTATGTAGTTTTGGAGCCTATCCTGGAACTTGCTCTGTAGACTAGGCTGGCCTCGAACTCACAGAGATCATTTACCTGCCTCTGCCTCCTAATTGCTGAAATTAAAGGCATGTGCTACCATTGCCTGACCTGCTGAACCTTACCTTGCTGGACCTCTTCCCTTAAACTTTTTTTTGGGGGGGAGAGGAAACACATTTATTTGTTTATTTTGTGTATGTATGTAATATGTGAACACACCATAGCATATGTTTAGAGGTCAGAGGACAACTTGTGAGAGTCTATCCTTTTCTTCTACTATGTGGGTTCTGAGGATCAAACTCAGATTAGTAGGCTTGGCAGTAAGTGCCTTTACCTGGTGAACCATCTTTCTTTGTTGAGGCAGGGATTCTCTGTATAATAGCCCTGGCTATCTTAGAACTAGCTCTTGTAGACCAGGCTGGCCTCAAATTCACAGAGATCCGTCTGCCTCTGCCTCCCGAGTGCACTCTCAATTTTTTTAAGACAGTGACTCTGTGTATTCTTTGCTGGCATGAAATTCACTATGTAGACCATGATCTTAGTGTTGAACTTAAAGGTGTCCGGCCACCTGTGCTTCCCAAGTACTGGGATTAAAGGTGTGTGTCACCATGTCCAACCTCCCCTTCCTTTTTTTTTTTTTTGTTATTATTTTTGTCTTGGACCTTATTCTGTAGATCACGCTAGCCTCTAATTCATATTCATAGAGATTTGCCTGCCTCTGCCTCCCAAGTGCTGGGATTAAAGACATAAACCACCACCGTCCACCTTTCCTTTTTATTAACTTAATTATTTGTAATATTTATTTTGTTTTATCTGTCTAAATTTTTTTAATTTTTATTTTAAAACTTACTTAATTTATTAAATATACAGTGGTCTGCCTGCATGCATGCCTGCAGGCCAGAAGAGAGCACCAGATCTCATTACAGATGGTTGTGAACCACCATGTGGTTGCTGGGAATTGAACTCAGGATCTTTGGAAGAGCTGGCAGTGCTCTTAACCACTGCCCCTCCAGCCCTTGTGTCTAAATGTTTTACCTTCATATATGTATGTATACCATGAGTATGCCTAGTGCCTACAGAGATCAGATGAGGATGTTGAATTCCTTTGAACTAGAGTTACAGTTGTAAGCCAACATATGAGAACCAAAATCAGGTCCTCTGCAAACGCAACAAGTACCCTTAACACTCGAGCCATCCTCTGCCCCTGTTCACTTCTGAGACAGATCTCAGTAATTCAGTCTAGCTTCATACCACCAAAGTCCTCCCAAATGCTGGGATTTCTAGCATGAGCTATCACACAGGTTTTGGAGCAATTTATACCATAACTGCACATCACAAACTAAGAGAATAATTGAACAGCTTTATTCAGTGTACTCAGTCAGAATGCTTCTCTCATTCTGTTTGCTCTTTTTCCCTTTCTTTGATAGAGTCTCAACTAGCCCTGATTGACCTTAAACTTGTTATGTAGCTAAGGCTGAACTTGAAGTCCTGATCTTTCTGAGATTCTGGGATCATCATAGTTATATACCAAACCTGTTTCCAAAGTCAAATAATACACAAAAGAGAAATTAAGGGCTGGTTTTACTTTCTGAGTTTCAGCTTTTCAAAATAAGCAGATTCCTGTCAAGCATTGAGAATGTGGTGCTTAGTTAGAGATGCTGGAGAGATAGGAAGAAAGTTGAGATAATGGGCCTTGAAGTAAAAAGATTAGAAGGGAAAGGAGAACTGGAAAACCAGTGTTGGGAGGCCCAATCTTCCTTGGACTATGAGAAACTGAGCAGAGGCTGTACATTTGCTACGGGATCCTAACTTGTTCTTCCTGGGTCTCTGACTCCCCTGGGTCTTGTACACGCTTTTAACCTCAGCCTAGACTACACCTCTCTTTTACATTCACTTTTAATGCAGGGACTCTCTAACATCAGTCTGCATTGTCACTTCTGTTTCACACTTGGTTTGTGGCAGGGTCTTACTCTCTAGCCCTGGTTGGCATGGAAATCATGACAGTTCACCAGCCAACCCCTCTTGAGCACTGGCCTTATAGATCAGAGCCAGCATGCCTAGCCCTGTAATCCTTGTCTGCTGCCACATACCTTACCCCATATCCTTTGCTGTTAGTTGTAGTTTTGTAGGTGTGTTTACTAAATCTCCGACTGAAAGCCTTGTGAGGACAAGGACTGGGACTCCATACCTGATTCAGTTGAAAGTCACTGAACACTGTTACATACTGAATGAACTGGTAATTTGGTCAGAGTCCTGCTTAATGTCTCAGATGGAAAGTGATTGAGCCTTGGAAAGCATCAGACCGTTCCTTCTAAACCCCTTTTTGCAGAAGAAGAATTCTCCTGCTTGTGGCAGGAGTGTGGCTTTTGCTCTCTGGACAATTCTGCTGACCTCATTCGCCATGTCTACTTCCACTGCTATCACACCAAGCTGAAACAGTGGGGGCTGCAAGCCTTGCAAAGCCAAGCTGACCTCAGCCCCTGCATCCTGGACTTCCAGAGCCGGAACGTCATCCCTGACATCCCTGACCATTTCCTGTGTCTATGGGAACATTGCGAGGTCAGCAGACAGTGCTAGAAATAGGGGTGGAAGGAAGCTGGGGATCTGAACTCAAGAGCTTTCCGGGGTGCCTCATATTTCAGAGACTCCTACTAGCATCTCCCCTCTATTCTTGTGTAACACCTTTATCTTAAAACTTTCCCGTTCCCAGACGGTGATTAGGGAGAGAGCTAAAAGCCCCCTTTTGACATGGGTGAGAGTCCCTCTAACCACTGTGAGTCCTCACCCCAAGTTGCCCTGGCACAGAGTACCTTCGACAATCCCGAGTGGTTCTATCGGCACGTGGATGCGCACAGCCTGTGCTGTGAATACCAAGCTGTCAGCAAGGACAACCATGTGGTGCTGTGTGGCTGGAAAGGTAGGGCCACCCATCTTCTCTGACCTCTGCTTTAAACTCTGGAGGTGTTAAGGGTCTAGAGGAGCCAGGGATGGGACCATCCTACAAGACAAAGGCTGCTGGCTGATGAAACTTGGGGGTACCAGAGCCAAGTTGGGGAAGGGGATTGAGGGATAGAACATGATCAAATCTTCCTTCCCAGACTGTACCTGTACCTTCAAAGACCGCTGCAAACTTCGAGAACACCTCCGCAGCCATACCCAGGAGAAGGTGGTGGCCTGTCCCACCTGTGGGGGCATGTTTGCCAACAACACCAAGTTCTTAGATCACATCCGTCGCCAGACCTCGCTGGATCGTAAGCAACTGGAGCTCGTGGGCTATCTTACTTAAAGACGAGAGTATATTCCCAGGGGAGGTGCTGCTGGGAGATCTGTGCCCTGGCCCTCTTCTCCTTTTGGGACCAGACACCTCCTAGACCTCTCTTAGACATTGGTTAGCACTTAGGTTTGTTATCTCAGGAATCCTCACAACAGCCCCATGAGGTAGGCTTCTTATTCCCCTTTTTACAGATGAGGAAACTGAGGCTCAGAGAGGTTAAATCACTTACCTGAGATCATACAGCTAGTAAGTGGTAAAGCTGGGCTTCTAACTCAGGTCTGGATTCCAAATCCCACCCGTAGCTTCCCTTTGACCCTTGGGTGGCTCCCTTCTGTCTGGGATGGCTCCCCCTCCTCTGCCCCTCACTGTTCTCATCAGTCGTCCTTTGTTTTGTCCGCTCCACCCCAGAGCAGCGTTTCCAGTGCTCTCACTGTTCTAAGAGGTTTGCCACAGAGAGGCTGTTGCGTGACCACATGCGGAATCATGGTGAGTGGCCTGCACCCAAGCCTCCCTGCCCTTCCTTTGAGGTCCTGAGTCCACAGGTCATAGCTTCTTCTCTGCTCCTCAGTGAATCACTATAAATGCCCTTTGTGTGACATGACCTGCCCATTGCCTTCCTCCCTCCGAAATCACATGCGCTTTCGACACAGTGACGACCGGCCCTTTAAATGTGATTGTTGTGACTACAGGTGAGGTGACCTGGGGGTCAAAATCCAGGGCTCAGGTTTCAGGGTTCTCTCTGCTCTTCAACCCTCTCCTGATTTCTCCTGGCAGTTGCAAGAATTTGATTGACCTCCGGAAGCACCTGGATACCCACAGCAAGGAGTCAGCCTACAGGTGTGAGTTCGAGAACTGCAGCTTCAGTGCTCGCTCTCTCAGCTCCATCAAGTCCCATCACCGCAAAGTTCATGAAGTAAGTGCCAGGTGGGGAGGCTTCTCAGGCGTGTGAGTGGAGAGCTGACTTCATTGCCTTTTCTTCCTCATCAGGGAGACTCAGAGCCAAGGTACAAATGTCATGTCTGTGACAAATGCTTCACACGTGGCAACAACCTCACTGTGCACCTTCGCAAGAAGCACCAGTTCAAGTGGCCATCGGGACACCCTCGTTTTCGGTATGTATAAATCTTTCCCCACGATACTTTCCTTGTTTTTGTTTATTGCTGTGTGTATTTGGGGGGTGCCGTGCTCCTGTAAATGTTGGGACACAACTTGTGGAATTGTTTCTCTCCTACCTTTGTGTGGGTTCCAAATGCTGAACTCAGTTCATCAGGCATGCATGGCAAGTATTTACACCCTGAGTCATACGACAGACTCTGTCTGTCTTGATAGGGTCTCTTTATGTAGCTCTGACTGTCCTGGAACTCCTCTGTTCATAGCTAGACTATGCTAGCTTTGAACTCGTGGATATCCGCCTACTTCTGCCTCCTGGGTGCTGGGATTAAAGGTGTGTGCCCAACACCGCCCAACAATGACAGACTTTTAACAACTTTGAATTTTATGGTATTTTGATGCCTACCGTCTATGTTTAGGCTCAACCTTAACAATAATGGGAGAGCAAAGATTATTTTGGGGGGTTTTATTATTATTTTATTTTATTTTGTCCCTGTCCTGGAACTCCCTTTGTACATCAGGTTGGCCTTGTACTCCCTGAGATCCTCCTGCCTCTGCCTCCTGGTGCTGAGATTAAAGGTGTGCGCCACCACACTTAGCTCTTGTTTGTTTTTGAGACCAGATCTCCATATAGCCCTGACTGGCCTAAAGCTTGCTGTGGAGACCAGGGTAGCCTTGAACTCACAGAGATCCACCTATCTCTGCTTCTAGTGAGATTACAGGTGTGTGCCACCATTCAAGACTGATTTTTCTTTTCTTTCGTTCTCTTTTCTTTCTTTTTTTTTTTTTTTTTTTGAGATAAGGTTTCTCTGTTACAGACCTAGCTGTCCTGGAACTAGCTCTTGTACACCAGGCTGGCCTTGAACTCGCAGATACCCACCTGCCTCTGCCTCCGAGGCTCGGATTAAATGTGTGTGCCACCACCGCCCAGCAAGGCTGTGGGTTTTCTAATGAAAGCTTGGTTTCAGATTCAACAAGTAATGCCAGAAGTCCTGCAGCCAGAGCAAGAATTAAAGGCTAAGGGTCCTGCCTGTGAGCTTCATGGCCTCATAAACTTTGACACTCTACCTACTACAGAGTCAGTCAGTCTCTACTGGGTTGGGCTTCTGCACTAAGTTTCTCATTTTGAGTCCTCTCCTCTGACCCTTTTCTTAATCTTCAGTTCTGTCCCATGGAATCCTGAGACTTCTTCCAGCTAGTGTATCTGTATCGTCACCCTCTGTCTCCAGGCCATTTCCTCATCCTCTGCTGCTCTGCTGCCTTCTTCTCCAGGTACAAGGAGCATGAAGATGGCTACATGCGACTGCAGCTGGTTCGCTATGAGAGTGTGGAGCTCACACAGCAGCTCCTCCAGCAGCTCCAAGAAGGATCAGATCCGGGAGTGGCACTGAATGAAAGCAGCCTGCAGGGCATTGTTCTAGAAACAGTACTGGGGGGGGCAGGACCTGTGGAAGAGATGGAAGAGGAAGATAGGGCTGAGGGGACAGCCATCTCAGCTTCTCAGGACAACTCCAGTTCTGCTGTCCATATGGATGGTCAGACAGACAGCCAAGGCCAGCGAGAAATTGTCTACTATGTGCTGTCTGAAGCCCCAGGAGAGCCCCCTCCAGTCTCTGAGCTACCCTCGAGAGAGATGGAAAAGCTTCAAGGAGTACCTGAGAAGCCGGAGGTCCAGATGGTGTGAGGCTGCTGAGCCTGACCTTCTTTAGACCTTGGAGTTTGAGCCAGCCAGCATTGCCCCTGGTGGGCAGCCTTTGTTTTTGGATGCCTTTAGAAGTGGTGCTGAGAATAGTATGTTCCAGTCTGACTCAGGCAGCGTCATTCTGTGGACTCTGAGTAATTCCTCCCCTCCCCTCTCCACACTGTTGTTTGTGGGGAACCTGAGGAGTAGGATTCATTGAAGAAATTCTACATGTGTGTTCTCATTAGTCGTGCTAGATGCAGTGAGTAAATGTTTAGTTCACATCGGTTCCTGTCTTTAGGGGTCCATTGGCCCAGGGATGATGAGCGACTGTTCCTTCTGAGAGCCATTTCCTCACTATAAATTACGCCTTGAGAGGCCAGGTGGTGGTGGCGCACACCTTTACTCCCAGAGGCAGGTGGATCTCTGTGAGTTCAAGGCCAGCCTGGTCTGCAGAGTGAGTTCCAGGACAGGTAGATAGGCTCCAAAGCTACAGAAAAACCCTGTCTCGAAACTGCCACCCCCCCTCCCCCAAGAAAAGTTAAGTTACGTGTTGAGAACCAGGTGTCATTTCTCTCAAGGTTTCCTTTTACATTCCAGGAACACTGGTGATTATCTTAAGGGGCAGGATTGGAGACTGTATGTATGACAGTTGTTTTTGGTAATAAAAAACCACTTGGGCTGTTACTTATTTCTCAAATTTGGTGGCAGTTTCCTAGGTAACAGATATAGTTGTCTAGAAGTGGGGCTGAATAACTAGGCTTACCCCTTTAGAGACCAGGGTGGTTTCTTTAACTCTCATGTACCCGTTTGGAGTTTGTCCATTGCTTCCAGAGCTCTACCAGCTTTGTGGTTGGAGGCCCAGTACTTGTCCATGGTATAATGCTAGCAGCATTACAGAATGGATATGAATGGCCCTGGGACTGCACCCTTAGTCCTAGTTAGAACCCTGTGCCTCTAGGGCAGGCTGGGATTCTGGAACTGCAAAGGCTCTGAAGTAGAGGTAGGTTGGGAGGTCACCCAGAGACTGCCAAGTACTCAGGAGCCAGGAGTCAAGCTAGAAAACTGTGTCTACATTTTCCTAGAGAGTGGATCTATTTTCATTGGATTAAAAAAGTTCTTATGAATATTACACATATATGTTCATTTACTTTTATGTGTATGAGTGTTTTGCCTGCATGGATGCAAGTGTATCACAGGTGTGCCCATGGCGGTCAAAAGGTCCTCTGGAACTAAATTACAGACAGCTGGGAACTGCCCTGTGGGTGCTGGGAACTGGATCTGAGTCTTTGCAAGAGCAGTCAGTGCTCTCACCTGCTTAGCCGTCTCTCCAACGCCTTTCATTGGATCCTTAGAGAAGCTGGAAGTCCTCAAAATAAGAATTTGTTTTTTTTTAAGTTGGCTGGACAGGATGGCACATGCCTTTAATCCCAGCACTCAGAAGGCATAGGGAGGAGGGTCTCTGTGTTCAAGGTCAACCTGGTCTACGGAGTGAGTTCCAGGGTAGCCAGGGCTGCACAGAGAAACCCTGTCCTAAAAAACAAACAAAAGGCTGTGTAGCCTGTATGTGAGCAGGTACATGGTCTGCAGTTGTGTGAGCGTGTGTGGGGGCTAGAGATCGGTGTCAGCTGATGTCTGCTTTATTTTTGAGACAGTTTCAGAGTCTCAAATTCCAGTGAGCTCTGGGAATTTGCCTGTCTCTTTCTCTGTGCCAGTACTAGGTTACTGACATGCCAATCCTGTTTATAGTTTTTATGTGAATGCTGGGGACCTGGACTCAGATCCTCATGTAGGGCAAGCATGTACTGATGCTCTTCATTTTCTCCCAGTCCTGAGCACTGGTGGGCACGTGTGCATTCATTCTCTGCTCTTGACTGGATGTGTGTCAAGTTCCTGCTACCCCAACTTCCTGAAATGCTTGGCCTGTAACTTGGAATTATGAGCCAAATAATCCCTTTGTCCCCTAAGGCGTTTTTAGCAGGATGTTTTGTCACAACAACAGAAAATGAAACTAATAGGAACATATATATGCATATATATCCGGAGAAATGGCTCAGTGGTAAAGAACACTGGCTGCTCTTCCAGAGGGTGCAGGTTCAAGTCTGAGCAGCCACACAGGTGTCTCATAACCATCTTACAACTCCAGTTAAAGGTCTGCCTGATACCCTCTTCTGACCCCTCTTCTGACCTCTGAGCACCAAATGTGCATGTGGTGCACAGACAAACATGCAGACAAAACACCCATACACGCAAATTAATAAAGATCAGGGCTGGAGAGATGGCTCAGTGGTTAAGAGCATTGGCTGTTCTGGAGGTCCTGAGTTCAAGTCCCAGAAACCACATGGTAGCTCAACCATCTGTAATGAGATGTGGCACCCTCTTCTGGCCTGCAGGTGTACATGCATGCAAAACACTAAATAGATAGTCTTTAAAAAAAATTAATGCCAGGGGGTGGTGCATGCCTTCCAGCACTGGGGAGGCAGAGGCAGGCAGATCTCTGTGAGTTCAAGGCCAGCTTGGTCTATAAGAGCTAATTCCAGGACAGCCAGGGCTGTTACACAGAGAAGCCCTGTCTCAAGAACAAAACAAACAAAATATTGTATATTAGTCTTTGTTGCTATGACAAACAACCCACAAGGTATACAAGGCAAAAAGGATTTATTTTTGCTCATTTTTTAGAGGTTTCAGGCCATGTCCGCTGGCTCAGCTGTTTTCTGGGCCTGTGGTGGAGGGGAACAGGAGAACAGGGACAAGATACTCTCTTTAAAAGCAAGACCTTGTCTCTGAAGATTGTCGTGTCAGAGTTTAAGAAAGGTAACATCAGGCACCCCTTCATGGCCACCACTTCCCTGCCTGTTAGGGAGCCAAGAAAGAGAAGATTAACTTTGTTGCTGGAAGGGAGGAAGGAAGCCTCCTTTTTAGCCGCCCCCACTTTCTGTTCTGAGTAGCACCTCCCCAAGTAGCCAGCAGAGGGTGCTCTCCTTTTTTTTTTTTTTAGTTTTTCGAGACAGGGTTTCTCTGTGGCTTTGGAGCCTGTCCTGGAACTAGCTCTTGTAGACCAGGCTGGTACTCACAGACATCCGCCTGCCTCTGCCTCCCGAGTGCTGGGATTAAAGGCGTGTGCCACCATCGCCCGGCAAGGGTGCCCTCCTTGACAAGTTTAAAAGTCTTGAGCTGAACCAGTCGGTGGGCAAGAGCAGACGCAGAGGACAAAGAATCTGGGTAGTGGAGACAGAGCTGGACCGGTTCCCGAGTCTCCAGGTTAAGTCCTTTCTGGATCCTGCTGGACCCCACCACTCTCTACCATCTTACCAACCGCTCTCACAAATCCTTGTCCAGAGCAATGTTTTGGTTAGAATAACGTCTAGCCCTAAGCTGAGATGAGAATTATCAACTCTTGCTCTGGAAGCAAACTGCTTGATTGGGGGTGTGGTGGGTGTAGAGAGGATAAATAAATAAATAAATAAATAAATCCTAGGGAATAGGCAGATATGTATCTGGGGAAGTGGGGAGGATCCATTCTGATAGGGAAACTCTTGGTATATGGCTTTATTCTAAGGGTGGTGAGGTCTACACTAAGCAAAGACCCACTCTAGACATTAATTCAGAAACCCTGGGAATGGAACCCTGGACTCAGTCTTATACCCTCTGGAGGATTTGAGGTGTACACTAAAGTCCATCGACCACTGTTAGTAAGTTACAAGGTCTATCTAGGAGTTTATTTTCTGGGAGGGTCTTCCAAATGGGGAAGACTTACAGTAGTGGATCTCCGCCAAGTTAGAAAGGTTTATATCCTAGAATGAAAGCATAATAGGGGAAGGTGGATTGTCTCTGAGAAGAGGGAGGAGTTGGTATAGGGTTTGTATAGCAGTCACAAAGCCTTGGGTTTGACCCCAGCACTCCCATGAAACGGGGTGTAGGAGTCCATCACTGTAATACCAGCGTTGAGGTGGTGGTGGTGGGAAGATTATAGTTTCAAGGTTATCCTTGACTATGTAGCAAGTCTGAGGTTAGCCTGGGCTACATGACTACATGAAACCCTGTCTAAGAATAAATAAAAATAAAATGGGAATGGCATGGCTGTATTCATCTGTAAATCTAAGATCTGGGAGGCTTAGGCAGGGTCACAACTTCAAGTCAAGCTTGGGGTGCACAGTGAGACCCTGTCTAAGAAAACTAAAGACAGGAAAGTGATACTTGGACATAAATTTGACATGGTAGAAACAATGGGGTCCCTAAGCCCTGGATCTGAAGCTGGGTTCATCATCAGGCTGGATGTGTCCCCTCACAGTGGAACCTCATGTTTCTGAGTCTTGGTTTTCCTGTCTGCAGTGCTGAAAGATGATTCTAACACCAGAAGGAGGTGCAAAGATCTAGTTACATTCTAAAGAAAGTTTTTTTGTTAGCAGATCAGTGGTGGCACTCGCCTTTAATCCCAACACTTGAGAGGCAGGGGCAGGCAGATCTCAAGTTCAAAGCCAGCCTTGTCTACAAGAGCTAGTTTCAGGAAAGGCTCCAAAGCTACAGAGAAACCCTGTCTCAAAAAAAAAGGGGGGGGGGGCTGGAGAGATGGCTCAGAGGTTAAGAGCACTGACTGCTCTTCCAAAGGTCCTGAGTTCAATTCTCAGCAACCACTTGATGGTTCACAATCATCTGTAATGAGATCTGGCGCCCTCTTCTGGTGTGTGGGAAGCAGAATGTTGAACACATAATAAATAAATTTTAGAAAAAAGAAAAGGAAATTTGAATTTTTTTGTTTTTATTTTGTTTTAGATGTTGTCTATGTGTGTATGTGCATGTATGTGTACGTGTACACTAACTACAGCATACATATGGAGATCAGGGAACAATCTGAATTTGTGGGAGTCAGTTCTTTCATTTGTGTTCTGGAGTTCAAACGCAGGTGTCAGGCTTGGTGGCAAGTGCCTTTACCACCTGAGCCATCTTGCCAACCCTGCTTTTGACTACGGCTGGCTTCAAATTCACTGTGAAGTAAGGGTGACCTTGAACTCCTGATCCTCCTGCTTCTACCTCCCTAATGCTGGGATCCCGCGTGTCTCAGCTCAGAAATGGCTATTGGTTGGGTACATTTTTCTACATACAAAGTCTAGGAACATGGGGAGAAAGGCAAACTAGTATAATAGTTTTTCTCTGTACCTGTTCATAACACATATGCAATATGTGTGGCTTCTCTTTTGCCAAGAAGTAGGGGGTTATTCTGGGGAAAGTAAATGATCCTGAACTATGGACAGCTTGACCTGAAGGATAAAAAGATATGGTCTAGGGGCTGGAGAGATGGCTCAGAGGTTAAGAACACTGACTGCTATTCCAGAGGTCCTGAGTTCAATTCCCAGTAACCACATGGTGGCTCACAACCATCTGTGATGAGGTCTGTACCCTCTTCTGGCCTGCAGGCATACATGGAGGCAGAACACTGTGTATATAATAAATAAAATATTAAAAAAGAAATACAAATGATAGTCTATTATTGAAAATCAAAAGGCTGTCCTTGAACTTGGGATCTTCCGCAGCATCTTAGTGCCAGGACTACAGATGCGTGACTCCCTGCCTAACCAGCTATGCTGTGTTTGTGATCCTGATGAAGTTTACAGATGGAGAATCTACTTAAGAGGAAAAGCCAGTGGGGTTGGGGTGGTGGCGGTGGAGAGAGGATGGTCAACAGGTACAGGATGCAATAGTGAAAGACATAACTTTTTTGTGTGTGTTGTTAGGGATTGAACTACTGAATGGTGCCCTCCGCCCAGGGGAATGTTATTTCTGATGCATTATAACTCAGTAGACTAACTTTGGGTGACAGTAATTAGATATTTCAAAAAAGCTAGTAGATTGAATATGCCCAACAAAAAGAAATGATAAATAAATGAGGAGACAATATATGCCATTACTCTGGTGCGGTGGTTTCAGTGAGAACAACCCTCATAGGCTAATATGTTTGAATGCTTAGTCACCAGTGAGTGGCATTATTTAAGAAGGAGACTGGGAGGTGTGGCCTTGTTGGAGTGGGTGTGGAGATGTCAAAAAGCTCACACTGAGCCCAGTGTCTTCTCTCTCTCTCTCTCTCTCTCTCTCGGTCTGTCTCTCTCTGTCTCTCTGTCTCTGTCTCTGTCTCCTGAGGATCAGGATGTCTTTCTTGGCTACTTCTCCAGCACCACACCTGCCTGCCCCTGTGCTCTCTGCCATGATGATAATGGACTAAGCCTCTGAAACTGTAAGCAAGCCCCAGTTAAATACTTTATTTTCTAAGAGTTGCCTTATTCACAGTGTCTCTTGTAAGATCATTATACATTATACAAGTGTGTGGGAATAGTGGGCCAGTGAGATGGCACCATGGGTAAAAGGGCTTGCTGTGACCTGCGTATCTGCTCTGATCCTTGGAACTCACCATGGAGAAAAGTTACTCCTAAAAGTTGTCCTCTGACTTTTCCATGAGCTCCCTGGGAACATGCTTACACTCACACCACAATAATAAGCACAACTTAAAAATTTAAATATGGCAAATATTATGTATTCACTAATTTAGATATGAAAAAAGGATAATATACAATCAGGAAGGGGGCTGAAGATGGTAGAGTTCAGTTGGTAGTGTACTTGTCCAGGAGGCTCCAAGGCCCTTCCATCACCAGCCCTGATATAACCCTTATACTTGGGAGGTAGAGGCAAGATCAGAAGATCAAGGCATCCTGGGCTAAACAGTGAGTTCAAGACCAGCTTGGACTTGGGTTTCTGATGTCCATTTGGGAATAAGATTCTGAGATGGGGCTGGAGAGATGGCTCAGTGGTTAAGAGCATTGCCTGCTCTTCCAAAGGTCCTGAGTTCAATTCCCAGCAACCACATGGTGGCTCACAACCATCTATAATGAGGTCTGGTTCCCTCTTCTGGCCTGTAGGCATACACGTAGAAAGAATATTGTATACATAATAAATAAATAAATATTAAAAAAAAAAGATTCTGAGATGACCAATTGACAGAGTGGGCAAAAGCAGGGACTTTGGATTCTAAGCCTGTCCTTTGGATTTGCTATGCCTGTCCCTCAGCCATATTTTTTTTTGTTTTGTTTTGTTTTTGTTTTTCGAGACAGGGTTTCTCTGTGGCTTTGGAGCCTGTCCTGGAACTAGCTCTGTAGACCAGGCTGGTCTCGAACTCACAGAGATCTGCCTGCCTCTGCCTCCCAAGTGCTGGATTAAAGGCGTGCTCCACCATCGCCCGGCACTCAGCCTTATTGTTTAACCTTCCTATTTCTGTTTCTTTTCACCAAAGGAAGGTTGTAAGACCTGCCCCGTACTTGCTCAGATCCCTAGAAGTTCAAGGTCAGCCTGGTCCACTTAGGGTGTTCCAGGACAGCCTGGTGTGTATAGCAAGTGCCAGTCCAGCCAAAGCTACATAGTGAGACCCTGTCTCAACAAAACAAAACAAAAACCTTGGCTCAGAGAGATAGTAAGATGTACCAAGTGTGGAGCCCAGGCCACACAGCTGCCATGGCAGGCTTGATATAGACCAGCTAAAAAGTAGGCCTGAGTTTCTCTTCTTGGTTTACTGGCAGGCAGTACCAGGTTCCAGAAAAAGTCATAAGCTGACACCTCCTAGGGAGGGCCAGCATCTAAAGGGAAGTTCCTGACATTCCAACCATCATATAAGAGGAGAGTAGGTCGCCAGATGTCCCTGAGCCCAGGACTCACCTATTCCCCTTTTGTCAAGACCCCCTATGTTGTTGGAGGCTACTTATTCATTTCCTGGCCACCCAGATTCCTGAAACAATCACACAAAATCTGTATTAATTGCAATATTGTTTGGCCAATAGTTTAAGTGTATTTTTGGCTAACTTATATCTTAAATTAACCCATTTCTACTAATCTGTGTATCACCACATGGCTGTGGCTTATCAGCTAGGTTCAGGTCTGTTTCCTGCGGGCAGCTACATGGCTTCTCCATGACTCCGCCTACTCTCTATATCTCTTTCAGTCTGGCTTTACTCTGTTAAGCCATTGGCCAAAAGCAGCTTCTTTATTAACCAATGGCAATATAACATATTCACAGCATACATCACCTCCCACATGTCAGCCTATCAGGGTCCTGAACCCTGAAAATCCTCTCACCCAACCTCTACTGTGATAATAAAAAAAAAAAAAGCCTACCTTGATAGGGCCGGGCACTGTCTGCTCTCAACTGCTGTGAGACAGACAGAGAGTCCAAACTTGAGCTTGAATAAAGGCTCTTTGCTTTTACATGTAAGTGTGTGAACTCTGTGGTGTTTTTGAGGGGACCCTGTGATCTGGGCATAACATTAAGAAGAATGTCTGGCAGCCAGGCCGTGGTGGTGCACACCTTTAATCCTAGCACTCTGGAGGCAGAGGCAGGCAGATCTCTGTGAGTTCGAGGCCAGCCTGGTCTACAAGAGCCAGTTCCAGGACAGGCTCCAAAGCTACAGAGAAACCCTGTCTCAAAAAAAAAAAATGTCTGGTTTATAGTAGTTGTTCAATAAATGCAGCTGTTAGACCTGGTGACATAGGTTTGTAATAACTGCCTTCAAGGGGTGGTAAATGAGACTGGTCAAAGCCAGCCTCAGTAACAACTTGAGTTATGTGAGACCCTATCTCAGAGAACATTCACACTACATGAGACCCTATCTCAAACACACACACACACACACACAGACACACACACTGCAATCACAGGGGATGTGAGAGTCTTTCATGGGCCTTTGGTGATTCACTAGAAGAACGGAGGGTCCATCTGGAAAATGGGAAGGTGGATTCTGAGGAATGGCCAAAGGCGGGTCAGGCAGTGAAGGGAAGTTGGGAAACACTGGATCCCAAAGCCCCTCGAACCTTAGTTACAGGGTGGGGCATGGACGTGCCCTGCAGGAGTCGCTGGTTTCCCAGGCTGCAGAAAGGCTTAGGGTGGGGGTGGGGGAGGTGTTTGACTGCTAATAACCTCTCTCCTGCTGCGGTAGAAGCCTAGGCAGTCACAGCTGCCTAAGCAGCCTCCCGCCTATCTGTCTCTCCGTGTGACAGGTGGGAACTAAAAAGCTCAAGTCACGTGTCTTGACTGGCTAACCTACTTACCCCTGGAAGACACAGAGGATAGGGCAGGCAGGGGCCAAGAGTAATTGTTTGGAAAAGGGCCAAAATAAGGCGTGTGTAGGTGTGGGAGGGGGGGGGTGCCAGTGTAAGCACTCTGAGGACTCAGAGTCCAAGCTTGTAGGCTGAGAGAAAGAAGGCATATGTGTATAAAAAGACGTCCAAGACAGTGTCCGGAGAGTCCTGTGCATGCCTTGGAGCCTCCCAGATCAGCCTATGCTGGCTCCAAGACCTGTACCTATCTGGCTAGTGGAATAAAGATTTTTATGGCCAAAGCAGGCTGTGACTGGGGCCCAAGTTAACCTTGGAGATGCCTGCAAGCTTTGTCATAACTACTGTTCCCGATCTCTTCATAACTAGAATCGTCTTGACCCTTAGAGAGGGGAGATGCGAATAGATGTGAGAAAGGCTGTCTCAAAGTCCCAAGAATTACACCCTCAGACTTAAACATCGAAGTCCTTTGTAGTTTAGGACTGGGTGGGGTTGAGCTCCAAAGCTGAACTGGAAGAGATAAGCAATGAGGGGTTTGTGCGTGCAGATAGACGGACAGCTTCCCAACCCCCTGGGCATGATGAATTCTGCACCCTACTGCCTGAGGATCTGCTCCTCTGAGTGACTTCAAGTCTCCTTCCCTTAGCGACCTCGGGTTGACCTTTTGTAGCTAACTCTTAGTCCTGGGTTCACAAAAGCTCCCCTTTTGGGCCCCGCGCTGCAGGCGTTGCTCTCGACACCTCCATCCTTGCCATCCATCGGATGTGGGGAGGCACGGGCCCTTTAAGAGCAGCAGGACCGGCGGCGAGCTGAAGCTTGGAAGAGAACGCTGTCGCTGCTCGACTAGCTCCGGAGGACAAGCGCTCGGGACCAGACTACGAGGACCGGGCGGATTCATCCAAGTGAAGTCAGGGCGAAACCTCAACCAACCCTCTGCAACCGTGTCATCCTTTCTGACCTGAGCCCGGCCTTCCTCTACTGCCCGCCCCGGCCTGGCCCCGCCCTGGCCCGGGCTACCGGGACAGGGGAGCCGGGGCGCCGGTGCCGCACCGGAGGCAGGTGAGGAGAGCCGGGAGTGTCCACCTCCCGCGCTGCGGCGCTGAGCATCCGGGTCGAGCATCCCGGTTGAGCATCTCTGCTGAGCATCTTTGCGTCTCGCGAGCCGGAGGCGCGTCAAGGTGACCAGGCGAGCGGGGGACAGAAGGTCGGCATGGAGGGTCTGGGGTCTGTGACTGTGTCTGGGGACAGTCCGGAGGCGCACGGTCACCGGCGCGGGATGGGGAGGCCGGCCGAGGAGTGGCGCCAGTCCGTGCAGAGGGGGGCGCGGAGCCAAGGCCAGAGCCTCCCCGGGCCCAGCCTGTGCTGCTCAGTTTCCCCGACCTCCTAGCCGGTGGCCGCCCTCGCCGGTCTGCGGGATAAGGAGATTAAGGCCGCGGCGGGGAGGGAGGAGCAGGCAAGGCCAGGCCAGGCTGGAACTGCCCAGGACCGAGGAGAGGTCGCGACTGAGTGTCACTGCCCTGGGAGTGTGCTGCCTGGTGCAGAAGACCCGGCGGGAAGAGGGGTGCTGACAGTTGGGGATCTGCCCTGAAAAGGAGGCAGGGTTAGGGGGAGTGGAGGCGGGGCAGCATCGGAAAGCTATGGCGCTTTGAACAAGGGCTGGAGGGTCTGCCGGGAGCTAAGCAGGCCCTCTTCCTGCAGGCCAGCTGTGTGATGGCGGAGAAGGCACTGGAGGCCGTGGGCTGTGGACTGGGGCCTGGGGCTGTGGCCATGGCTGTGGCGCTGGAGGACGGGACAGAGCCCCCCGTGCTGCCCACGCATCTAAAGAAGGTGGAGAACCACATTACAGAAGCACAACGTTTCTCTCACCTGCCCAAGCGCTCTGCTGTGGACATCGAGTTTGTGGAACTGTCCTATTCCGTGCGGGAGGGGTCCTGCTGGCGCAAACGGGGTATGTGGCAGTCCCATGGGGACCTGGGGGTTCTCCCTGAATTGCCTCTTCAGTATCATAAGGCCCCCGCTGTGAGCTTTGTAGGCCCTAACCCTCGTTTACTGCATGCTGTTAGGGTACAAGATCCTTGCTCCCCACATCTGCAGCACTAGGAAGCTAAGTTCAATTGAATATTGAAGTTTTCTCTTCTGAAATAGACCCTATGACCTCTGGTCCTTGAGTTAGTCTCTCAGTCTCCCTCTTAGTCTCTCTCTCTCTCTTTCTCTCTCCCCCCCGTATTCACACCTATGAAGGTTGCTTTGGGGAAGGGGCGTGCTCTATCTATGGAGGCTCTTTTCAATGTCCAACAGCATCCTTACTCCTATTTTTAAAGATTGTCCCATTCCTGCCCTCTCACTCCTGCCACAGTTGCTGGAAGGGTGGAGGTTGGACAGGAGAGATGGTTACCTATAAGGAAACTGAGGCTTGGGAAGTTGAAAACCTGGCAAGTGTTCCCTGCTAGTAAGAAGCAGAGCAGGGTCCAAAGCCTAGCCTAGCTGCTCCACCTCCTTCCCTCTCCTCCCTGTCAGGACAGGTTTCCCAGAGCTGTCCTAGCTGGGCTGGGAACCTAGAGGCTGGGTTTGTTTCCCAGAGCTGGGTGTGGGCTAGGGGTGGAGCTGAGACTGTGTCATAGCTTTGAGGCGCTTCAGAACAGGGCTCAATGTGAGCTGTCTCTACATGTTGGCTCACTTCCATGGGTGACCCAAGTGGTCATGGGGGTTTGAGCTCTTGGACCCTGAGGCGTCTGGGCTCCCTAGCCAATACCCTAGGCCTAAGCAGTCTCTTTCAGTTCTCAGACCAGGCCCCGGGGTGGGACGATGAGGTCCTTGTTATTTCCTTGGCCTTCAGAACTTTACAGCAAGAAGAAATGTGGCTAGATTAGGTACTTCACCTTATCAGGGTGGTGGAAGCCCTGGCTAGGGACTCCTCCCTTTCGACCTTGCCAGCCTCAGCTACCCTCTTATCCATCTGTTTTGCTCTCTTTTAGTCCTGGTCCCTTTTCTGCCCTCTGCCCTCCTTTGCCTGGCTACTTCGTTCTTTGGCTCTTTCTCCCCTCTGGAGAGGGCAGAACCTGATTAAGGGTGGCAGAGACAGGAAGTGTAGGAGATCTGGGAGAGAGCACTGCCTTCCCTGGGTGAGGATCTGTCACCAGCCTCCTCTGTGTATGACATTTTTTTTTTTCAAATACATTCAATTAATTATTAGTGATCCCACTTAATAACATAAGAACCCTATTAAGTCTTTGGGAGGGAACACTACTGTGTGTTTTCTAATGGTGTTGGGGACGGAAGCCAGGGCCTTCCATATGCTAGGCAAGCACTCTACCACGGAGCTACATCCCAGCCCACTATTGCTCTTTTCTAGATGAGGAATCACAGGCCCTAATGCCAGTCATAAGGGCACACACCTGTAAGCTCAACACAGTGGAGGCTCCCAGGAGGATCGTTAGTTCAAGGTTAGCCTGGAGTACATAGGGAAGACCTCATCTCCAAAAACCTAAATAAATAATGAAAAGATTTAGTGATTTGACAAAATTGCAGAGCTATTGACCAAAGTAAGACTAGAACATCAATGTCTCTCCAGGCCTAGGTCTGCAGGTCCCTCAGGCGCCAAACAGTTGTGATACAGGGGGATTTAAGAGACAATTATTTCCAGCCCTAGGGAAGCTGTGTGGCCTTTGGTAGGCTGAATGTCCTTTCTTGGCCTAACTCTCCTCATGGGCTTCTCGGGGAGCTCAGCCGAGTTGGTATCCTGAAAGTGCTTTAAAGGCAAACAAGCGTAAGATGATATTTGTGCTAGGTCTTGGCTTTGCTGGCACCGGCTCTGGCATCAGACAAGGGGAAGGTTCACAGCTGCAGTTTCTTCCCTTGCACAAGAAGTCACTTCCCGTGGTGGTTCTGAGGAGTGTGTGCTGGAGAGGGTGTATGTGCCAGGATCTTTTTTCTGATTGGCCAGGAGGAGAGCTTAGGAGAGGTCTGAGACCCAAGACCTTGTCTCCCAGTGAAGACCTGGCTGTGTGGCCTTGGGAGGAACAGCTGAGGAAGATTGGACCCTGAGCAGGCAGGGGGCATGGTACAGGTGCCACGGACAGCAGTTACATGAGCGAAACTTCCCTTGTCTCTGCTAAGGACTAGGCGATGGACGAAAGCCTGAGTTCTCCTCAGCACAGCAGACCTGCCCGCTTAGCAGGCCAGGCCCTGGCTCTTGGCCTCACCTCCCGGCTCCACTCCCCTGCTCATCAGCTGCCTGTCCCGGTCCCCTGGATTATGCTTTCTCTCCTACAGCCTGGAGGCGTCTGTTGTTCCTCCTCAGCTCCAATGCCACATCTTGCATGAAGTCTCCCTCTGAGGGTGCATGGCTGTCGCCCCATCTCTGCTGTCCGCTCTTCTCTCTTCCATCCCTACCGCAGGGGTTTTCTCGTCCGTCCGTCTTACCTAGTCTGTAACTTTCTTGGATGCAGAAACCACGTCCTCCCTCGTTTTAGTTGTTGTCTAGTGTCTGGTACCGAGCTTAGCACAGCGTAGATCTCAACAAGCGTTTGTCAGATAGAATTGTAACGCAATCTGCCTTGTGAAATGCATGGTATGTGCCAAGCCGTATGCTTTACATATGTTAGCCGAGTGACTCTTTCGACAACTCCGTGGGGTAGGCACCATCATCCTCTTCTCATAGAGGAGGGACCTGGAGCTCAGAGAGGTTAAGCGACTCGCCTCAGGTCACACAGCTGGTAATGTGGAACCAGAGTTTGACCCAGATCCACCTGACTCCTTCTGCTATGCCTTATGCACAGGCTACTTTCCAGTGAGCGAGCGAAGGACAGGTGAGGTTTTTCTGGCCGTTGGGGTTGGAGAGACAAGCTTGTAGGGCAGAGACAACAGAAAGAAGGCATTTCCCCCTCCCCCCTGCCAGAATAGAGCAAAAGCTCCGCGAAACACACTTACTGAACACCTATTACATTCCAGACAGACAAGAAAGATGAATAAGACACAGACCCTCCCCCAAGATGTTCCCTGACTCAGCGGCTGGGGGAGGGGGTGAGCACAGGCACACTGAGTGACAAACGTGCTGGCATCTGAACACAGATGCTGCAGGAACACGGGACAGGCAGCAGCTTGGGCTGCTCCGGGGAGGTGTCCTCGGGGTGTGTAAGCCGGCGTGCACTCTGGTGAGGAGAGAGCCTGGTTCTCCAGGACCAGTGCTCTCACTATAGTCATTCAGGAGGGCGCCAGCTTTCCCGCAGCCTTCAAGAGACTGTGGCGCCCCTGGACTCGAACGCTAGTGGCAGTCATTTCTAGGGGGACAGGGTGAAGGGGTGGGAGCGTCTGTGTAAGCGCTGCCTGCCCGTCCTAACAATTCCACTCAGCAGTGGCTGTCTCCTCTATGACCGACCCTCCTCTACGAGCGCTCTCCCTCCCCCTCTCCACCTCTGTGTGTGTGTGGGGGCCAGAGGTCAACCTCAGATGTCATGTCCCAAAAGCCATCCACCTTGCTCTCTGAGGCAGGGTCTCTGGCTGGCCTGTGAGGTCCGGGGAGCTACCTGGTTTAGCCTTCTCGGCACTGGGATTACAAGTGTGAACCTCAGTTCCAACCTTTTGCTTACTGTTGTCAAAATAAAGTTGCATTTTAAAAGACATATGCGTGGTGGTGGTGGGGGTGGGGCACTGATATGTGAGTGCAGGTGCCTGCAGAATCCAGAAGAGGGCACCATATCCCCTGGAGTCTGAGTTACAGGGAGTTGTGAGCCACTGAGAGTGGGTGCTGGGAACAGAACTCTGGTCCCCTACATGAGCAATGTCCACTCTCAGCTCCTGGGTCATATCTCCTGCCCCTTTGCTTGTTTGTTTGGTTTGTTTTACTTTAGACAGGGTTTCAGATTCTGGTCCAGACTGGCTTTGAACTCACAACAGTTTCCTTGTCCCAGCTTCCCAAGTCCTGGGATGACATGCAGGGATCACTATGCACAGACTGAGCCAGGCAGCTTACGAGAGTTCTGGGAACGGAACGAGGGTCCTTCCTTGTGCTTGTGTGGCAAGCCTTTTACTGACTGAGCTATCTCCCCAGGCCTCCTCTTTAAATGTTTTGAGGATGCGTGAGATCATTAGCCCTCACCGGTGACCCCTTCCTGTCCTTGCTGCAGGTTACAAGACCCTCCTCAAGTGCCTGTCTGGTAAGTTCTGCCGCCGAGAGTTGATTGGCATCATGGGCCCCTCCGGGGCTGGCAAGTCCACGCTCATGAACATCTTGGCAGGGTATAGGTGAGCATGAGGAATGGGAGCGGAGCAGGACTCAGGAGGGGGAACCTCTTGACGGAGGGGTGTGGAAGGTGTGCTAAGAGGTTTCGGGGCTCATCACCAACCATTCTCCCCGCAGGGAGTCGGGGATGAAGGGGCAGATCCTGGTTAATGGGAAGCCACGAGATCTGAGGACCTTCCGCAAGATGTCCTGTTACATCATGCAAGACGACATGCTTCTGCCACACCTCACGGTGCTGGAGGCTATGATGGTGAGGAGAGGGTGGCCTTCTCCTCTGTGCTCCCCTTCTGTCTCCAGCTGAAGGCTCTGGACAGGGACTGCACACATGGCCCCTCCTCACTTGCTTACCGCTTTTTAGGTCTCGGCCAACCTGAAGCTGAGTGAGAAGCAAGAAGTGAAGAAGGAACTGGTGAGTGGATAGGGGTAGAGGGAGGGAGCCATTCTGAGGCTTAGGAGTTCTAGGCCCCAAGCTGGGTGGGGAACAAGGGCTTAAGGGTCAACCTCTATGAAAGTGGGGAGCTGCTTAGGTGAGATGCTAAGGTGGACTGGGGCTGCGTGGGGTGCCCACAGGTGACAGAGATCCTGACAGCCCTGGGCCTGATGTCCTGCTCTCACACGAGGACAGCCCTGCTCTCTGGAGGGCAGAGGAAGCGCCTGGCCATCGCCCTGGAACTGGTCAACAACCCACCTGTCATGTTCTTCGATGAGCCTACCAGGTATTTCCCTGCTTCTCCTGACCTGGGTTTTCCTCTTCTCAGCCCTAAGCCAGGGCTGAATCTGGTTCATGGCTCCCTGGCTGGAGACCAGATCTCCTGCTGGCAACTTTCTGGGGACTCCATCCTTGCTAATCCAGTTGTAGCCAAGTTGCCCTGTCTTTCATCCAGGTAGAGAGAACTGGAAGTACCCCCTCCCCCCTCTTTGATTGACATCTCCTTCTCCTCCCCTCAACAGCCATTAGTCATCAGATCCTCTGTGCTTTCAGACTTTCCCAGCCCCATTCCTAGTGCTTGAGCTCAGGACATCGTCAAGCTCATCTCCCCGCCTTCAGGCTCCCAGGCACCTTTCTCTAACCCGCGGCCAGAATGGGCTTTCTAAACAACAGATCTAGCAAGTTCCACTCTCCTGCTTCAAACCACACAGAGTCCCATTTGCCATCAAAATAGTCAGGCAGCTGCTTCTCCCATCTTTCATATTTTATGTTCTAATAACGCCGAGCTGCCTGCAATTCCCATCAAACTCCGTGTTCCATGCCCCTCAGCTTGACCCTTGTGTCTTCTGTGTGGAATACCCTTCATCATGACTCCTCCCTTGTCCCTTCACAGGCTCTTGCTCTTTCTAGACTCTGGAACCTTCCCTAGCCATTCTCCCATCCCATGCTATGTTTACGGCATGGCTGATCCGCTGCCAGTCTTTTTGCTTTGTGTCGCTGCTACACTTTGCACATCCTCTGAAGCCAACCGTGAGCTCCTCTGTGTCTCTCTAGACCAGTGAGCCCCGGCCACTTCAGTGCCTGGTATGCAAGAGGTGCTTGGCATATGGTTTTTCTAACTGAGTCGTGCTCTGGGCTTGCAAATACCTGAGCCACACAAGGTGTGCAGGATCTGGGGGTCTGCCCTAGTTTGCTTTCTGTTGCTGTGATAACGGCCATGGCTCAGAGCAATGGGGGAAGGAAAGGTTTATTTGACCTCCATGTTCAGATCACAGTCCGCCACTGAGGGCAGGAACTCACGCAGGAGCAGGAGCAGAGGCAGGGACTGTGGAGGAATGCTGTTTACTAGCTTGTCCTCTGAGGCTCACTCAGCTTGGTTTTGTTTTTGTTTTATACAACTCAGGACCCCACCGATGTGTGTGGCGGGCACCACACAGAGTGAGCTGTGCCCTCCCACATCAATCAATAATCAGAAAAATGCCCCTACTGGCTGCTCTGGTGGAGACATCTTTTCAATGATTGTTCCCTCATCCCAAATGACTCCAGTTTGTGTCAAGTTGACAAAATCTAATTAGCCCATGGTGTCCAGAGGGTGCCCTCCCACTAGACCCGTTCCATTCACAGAAGCCACCCACCTCACTCACCACCTCCTAGCCACACCCACCTCACTGGTCCCTGGTGACCTTTCTCTGGACAGCGGTCTAGACAGCGCTTCTTGTTTCCAAGTGGTGTCCCTCATGAAGTCCCTGGCCCATGGGGGGCGAACTGTCATCTGCACCATCCACCAACCCAGTGCCAAGCTCTTTGAAATGTTTGACAAGGTCAGTATCCCCAAGTCCCCGAGAAGACTGGCCTGTGATAGAGGGGGGATAGAAGTGTCAGTGCCCCCCCCCCCCCCCCCCCCCCCCCCATCCAGCACACATTGATTTGTCCATGCTCTAGCCCTGCCCCCCCCCCCCCCCCCCCCCCCTCCCCCCCCCCGTTCGCTGGTCATGTTTTTCTTGTGTGTTCCTTTCTGCCTCAGCTCTACATCCTGAGCCAGGGACAATGTATCTTCAAGGGTGTGGTTACCAACCTGATTCCCTATCTGAAGGGGCTTGGCTTGCACTGTCCCACCTACCACAACCCCGCTGACTTTAGTAAGTGGGGGCTCCAGTGAAGAGATGGGCGACAGAAGAGGGTTTGGGTGATGGAGGCCTCTTGGGGACAGGGAGTTCATTGTCCCTTGCCTTCTCCATATACCAAAGAGGGACTGACCTGCCCTTGGGAGTTGAGGGTGAAGCCTAGCTGAGCACTCTGCTCTGTTTCTCCTTAGTCATTGAGGTGGCCTCTGGCGAGTACGGAGACCTGAACCCCATGCTGTTCAGGGCTGTGCAGAATGGCCTTTGCACCATGGCCGAGAAGAAGAGCAGCCCCGAGAAGAATGAGGTCGCTGCCCACTGCCCCACTTGTCCTCCGGTGAGTGGCATGGAGAGGGCAGAATGGGGAGGGGAGACAGGACCATAGACAATGACCCTGCCAAGGAAGCTGTCCCCAGAGGCATTGCTGCCACCGTGTAACCGGAAGCCAGGTGCCTGGAATGGAGCTACTGTTCACAGTAGATCCTGAGCTTTGGGCTTCTCTTCCACCTGCTCCTCCAGAGCTCCTATGAGCGTCATTGGTGCGTTGTCCTCGGTGCCTGCTTAGGGAAAGCATGGCCAATGCCATTGCTGACCTCAGGGCCAGGATGGTCTGCTGTTATCTCTAACCCAACTTCCCAGAACAGGTGGTAAGGCTAGCTAGCAAATCACATAGGCTCTCAGCAGGCCACTGGGGCCAGCCAGGGTCCGCCTAGTGCCAGATCTCTCCCTTGGGTGAGATGCCATGATGACTCTTGGAAGTCAGAGGCTTGGCTATTAATGTTATTAGTGATTGTCATCATTGTGAATCAATGGGAGACCCAGTGGCTTATACACACAGTTATGGCCTTAGAGTTAGCTGTCATGAAGTGAAGAAGGAGCCGGGCAGATGACCAAGAGAGGGTCTTTGACTCCTTCCTGTCTCCTGCCACCCAAGTATCTTTATCTGCTTTCTCTCCCTTCCACCCTCAATCTCCCTGAGGCTTTCACCCCTAGAGCAGCTCAAAGGCTCCTCTTGTAGACCTGGGTTTTGTCTTAGGAAGAGCTTGGGACTCCCCCACCTACTGAGCTAGACGGGCAGTGTGTGGGTAGGGTACACTCACCCAGTCCTCTTTCTTCCCTCTAGGAAGTGGAGACTATCGAAAGCCACACTTTTGCCACCAGCACCCTCACCCAGTTCTGCATCCTCTTCAGGAGGACTTTCTTATCCATCCTCAGGGACACGGTGAGATGTCAAGCTGAGGGCAGGAGGTGTGGGCTGGACCTCTTGGGCTACAGACTCTCAGCATCTGGGATGGGAACCGCCCTCCCATGCCGTGTTTCTTGGCTCTGTGTGCCTGCAGGGCACTCTGAAGTTCCCATTCTAGCATGGCTTTCCCTGTATCCCCCGCCCCTGCTCCCTCGTCCTGGGACACATGCCTCTTCTCTTGACGACCTGCGCTCTAGGTCCTGACCCACTTGCGGTTTATGTCACACGTGTTGATCGGCGTGCTCATTGGCCTCCTCTACCTGCACATCGGCGATGACGCCAGCAAGGTGTTCAACAACACCGGCTTCCTCTTCTTCTCCATGCTTTTCCTCATGTTCGCGGCCCTCATGCCGACGGTGCTCACCTGTGAGCTAATCTGCCTGGCGGGGAGGGCGGGGGTGCTGGGCACGAGGCAGGGGCTAAAGCTTAGCCTGTGAAGCCTGACCCTACCCGTGCTGCCCTCAGTTCCCTTAGAGATGGCGGTCTTCATGCGGGAACACTTGAACTACTGGTACAGTCTCAAAGCGTATTACCTGGCCAAGACAATGGCTGATGTGCCCTTTCAGGTGAGTTCTCTTCCCGACCCCTGCCCCCACGCATTCATGGGCGATCCCATGGAATGTGGGGTCTAATGGGAAAACGGACAGCAAGCTAGGAATAGTAGCCATAGTAACCATAGCTAGGTGTGGTGGCTCACCTCATTCCAACCCTTGGCAGTGGGGGAGGGCTGAGACAGGAGGATGGCCATGAATTCAAGTCCAGCCATATCCCAAAATAAATAGATAAAAAGGTGGCCATAATGGCAGAATAACAAATGTCTCTATCTGTTATGGGCAGCAGAGAGCGCATAGGCTCTGGAGCCTTGCTCACTTTCCAACTATAAGACACTGTGCACGTCACCCCGTTCCTCTTTGCTTTAGCAGTGTTCCCGCCTGTAAGACAGAATTCCACCAGTGTCTTCCTCAGAGCTGTGCTTTAGAATTAAATGACTAAAGGCATACAAAGTTTAATTATTTTATATTTTGAGACAGGGTCTCTCTATATAGTTCTGGCTGTCCCAGAACTCACTATGTAGACCAGGCTGGCCTTGAACTCACAGAGTCACAAGTCTACCTGCCCCTGCCTCCTGAGTGCTGGTATTAAAGGCATTCATCACTATGCCCAACAATTGTGTTTTTTTGCATTCATTTATTTATCTTATATGTGCATAAACATTCTTGCCACAGTGTATGTGGCGAGGACAGAGGACAGTTTACAGAATTCGGTTCTCTCCCTCCAGTACATTGATTCTAGGATTGAACTCTGTCATACTTGGCCGGCCAGTACTGTTACCTACTGAGCCATTTTACTGACTCTCTATAAAGTTTTTAGAAGAGAGCCCATCGCATTCTAAATGCCCCAAAAATATCAGATGACATTTGTTAATCATATTACCGCCTCCTCTCGTTCGAGGCTTCAGGGCCACCAATAATCCTTTCAGCAAATCACAGAGAAGTGTCTCTCAGCTAAGTGTGGCCCGGCAGGGCTGTGACCTAGCACTTGGAAGGTGGAGTGGGGTGATTAGGAAGTCAAGGTCATCCATAGCTTGAGATCTAATGAGCTACGTGAGATGTCTGTCACAAACAGCAAAAGGGGAGGTACGGGTCTGTCCTCTGCCACGTGCGAAGCTTAGGAGGGAAACACAAGCTAGATCTTGACCTCTGGCTGTCTCTGTCTGGGAGCTGGGAACCTTTGTACAGGAAACAACCTGTACAGCTGTAGCTAGTGAGCCGACTTCCTATTTCCCATGAGCTTGTTTGGGAAGTGTATGTGTGTGTGTGTGTGTGTTTTGTTTTGAAACAGGGACTCACTCGGTACCACAGGGGATGGAAGGGTGGGACTCAAACACTTGCCATTCATGGATGATATCGGGGGTTCCGTTCCCAGCACTGCCAAGGAAAAAATCATTTATTTTATTTTATTTATTTGATTATTTGGGGTTTCTGAAACGGGGCCTCAGTCTGTAAACGCAGGCTGTGCTGCGACTGACTATCTAAACCAGGTTGACCTTGAACTTGTGGCGATCCCCTGTCTCAGCCTCCCACGTGCTAAGAAGTTATTATCACAAACTCAAACTTGAGGTTTACAACTGATGTTAAGGGTTAGGTACAGTAAGCAAAATGAAGCAAATTAACAAACCCATCACCTTGTTTTTTATGATAAGAGTATCTAAGATATGCTTATTTAACAAAAAATATAGATATACTGTAACCTTAGTATCTGGAATCTCTGGGTTTACTTTAGATCTCCAGATGTGTCCAGTGTCTGCTTCTTTGTATCCAAAAGGTGGCAGCCTCAAGGGGAGACAGAGCTCTTCTTCAGACAGTTAATTCTTTAATAATATAAGGAGACTAGAGAAATGGCTCAGCGATTAAAGATTAATCTTGCTTGCTGCTCTTCCAGAGGACTAGAGTTCAGGTCCTCACACCCACATCAGGCGACTCACTGCTGCCTGTAACTCCAGGTGCAGGGGATACAGCACCCTCTTCTGGCATCCATGATTCTTGTACATAGGTGGCATACATGTGCAGAGAAATACACACATAAATAAAAATAAGTCTTAAATATTTATTATATATACATACACATATATATGTATGTATATGGCTGGGGAGATGGCTTAGTGGTCAGGAGTGTTCGTTGCTTTTGCAGAAGACTTGAGTTTAGTTACCAGTACCTATGTTAGACAGCTTACCACACACACACACACACACACACACACACACACACACACTCTTCCCTGGTCTTGCAGGTACCTGTCATCTTGCCTGAACCTGTCAGAGCATCAAAACAAGGTTATATAAGATGTAGTAGTCTCCTGGCAGTGGCACACACCTTTGATCCCAGCACTCAGGAAGGCAGAGGCAGGTGGATCTCAGTGATTTTTGAGGCCAGCCTGGTCTACAGAGCGAGTTCTCGGATAGCCAGAGCTACACAGAGAAACCCTGTCTCAAACAAACAAAAAGATGTGGTCAGGGAGAAAGGGGGCATGAATGGTTCTAAAAAGTAGTACGCGCATGAACAAGAGTGGAGGCAAGATAGGGCTGAGGAGCCCTTGGGACACTCATTCCCCAGTGAAGTGGGCGGTGGACTTAGGTCCCCAGCGCTTGACTTGAAGGTCCCTAACCTCCTCTGTGGCTGCTCCCAGGTGGTGTGCCCCGTGGTGTACTGCAGCATCGTGTACTGGATGACAGGCCAGCCAGCTGAGACCAGCCGCTTTCTGCTCTTCTCTGCCTTGGCCATAGCCACTGCCTTAGTAGCCCAGTCCTTGGGACTGCTGATTGGCGCCGCCTCCAACTCCCTCCAGGTGGGAAAGCTGTCACACAGGTGGGGTCTCCTGGGAGACATCAAGGGGTGGATGAAACTGTGGTCACGCTGTAACAGCTGGGCCCCTCTCCCCAGGTGGCCACCTTTGTAGGCCCGGTCACTGCCATCCCCGTCCTCCTGTTCTCCGGCTTCTTTGTCAGCTTCAAGACCATCCCCACTTACCTGCAGTGGAGTTCCTACCTCTCCTACGTCAGGTCGGTCTGTCTCCTGCCCCTCAGGGGGTCCTGCCAGCTCTTAAGGGGAGGTACCCTGTCTGATTCTGCCCCTGCACCCTTGCTGGCACCTGAGTATGAGATCGCTGTGGCTGGGCTCTGGTGGTTTGCTGAGGGCCGGGGTCCTGTGCTCTGTGTCTTGCTCTGATGCCACTGTTCGCCTAGGTATGGCTTTGAGGGTCTGATCCTGACCATCTATGGCATGGAGCGAGGACATCTGACCTGCTTAGATGAACAGTGCCCATTCCGGGATCCACAGATCATCTTGCGAGAGCTGGATGTGGAGGATGCTAAACTCTACATGGACTTCCTGGTTTTGGGCGTCTTCTTCCTTGCCCTGCGACTGCTGGCGTACCTTGTGCTCCGGTACCGGGTCAAGTCTGAGAGATAGAATCTCGCTCCCACCTCTTCTGGGCAGGAAGCCCCCAGCTCCAGCCCCTTGGGACTGTTTTAAACTTGTAGACTTGGGCATTGGTTGCTGGTGCAACCGCCCTCCTCTCCCTCAACTGCTCCACAGTCTGGCTGTGGGTCCCCAGGCTCCCAGCCTCAGCCCTGGAAGTAGGGCTCCAGCCCTCCCCATTAAGCCCAGGAGTCTTCCCAAGTTGATGCAGTTTGTAGCTTCCTCTCTCCTCTCTCCAACACCTGCATGCAAAGACCACTGGGAGGTTGCCACCCTCCCCTCTGCCCAAAGCACCCTTCTGTGCTGTTTGCCTGGGAGCCCCATGTTCTCTAGGCCTTGACTTACAAGTGATCAAAGTGACCCCTTCTGGGGGTCCCCACCACACTAGTGTTTGTAAACTGGGCTGCTGTAAGGTTGGAGTTCCAGGGCTGGGCCCTGGTGGGTACCCAGGGAGTCCCAGCATGGACACTGGATGGAGCAAGGAGGGACTCTGGAAGTCTCTCCTCCTCCTCCCCCTTCCTCCCCACACCCACTTTGGCTAATTTGGACAATCTGTTGGGACAGAAGCCGGGTTTTCTGTCTGGGTCACCACTCCCAATCCTGGAGATTGGAGAGACCACTGGACGTCCCACTCCCTTCCCTAACCCTTCAGTCAGGGTAGATCTCAGTGGCACCTCTGCAATAATGTCTGTGCCACTTGCCCACCTGCCACTGGAACTGGAGAATGCACTTTATTCCGGGGGGTGAGCCGGGGAAGCCTCGATCGTCCCTTCTTGCTGCTCCTGAGGCTTGGTTCTACAGGTCCTTTCCTCTCCGGAGTCACAGGCACGCAAATGCAATCAGGCAATCTCAGCCCTACACACGGCACCATCCCTTATGGCGTGGAGGAAGAGCGATGGTGGCAGGGAGCCAATGGTGCCCGCGGGGGGGATGGTGGCAACCTCTTCCTGAGAACCTCATTTTGGAGGCTAAGAATGAGGCTGGTGTGATTCGGTGTGGCTCTGGGCTCTGCCGGTGTCTTTCTCCCAGTCTTCCCTCCGTCTCGAGCCAGGGGTGGCACTGGGTGCTTGCCTCCTGGAGATCAGGACTCGACAAGCACAAGAATGGGCATAGCTGGCTCCAGCCATGGCTCCCCCACGGCCATCCTTCTGTGCTCCAGCCTGACACTTGCTCTTCTGCCCCTTCGCCAGCTGCCTGCTGCTCACGCAAACTTCTGTTCGCTGATCTCCATCTTCCAGTCAGCAGCTGGTTCCTGGACATCAGAGCAGCGGGGCCTGGACGCCGAGGTGGCAGATACATCTGGAGCTTGTCTGTTTCCTTGGCGGGTCTAGGCTCATCCTACATCTGATTTCGCCTCCCCCAGGACTCTTTCCCCAGTCCCTGCGCTCACACCTCTGTACTCGTCCCAGGTTCTTCTCATTATACAGATGCCAGTTGTATTTGTGGGATTTCACTCATTATTAATAAAACCTATATTTATACAGGATGCGGTATGTTAATATGGGTCTGCTACCTGCTACTGTAGGATATGCGAGGGGATTCGAAGCTCTTGGCAAGACGTCTGCCAGCTTTGGGGATCCTGTGGCAGGGGTATTAAGTCTCAGGCATTGTTCAAACTCATTAATGTTTATCTTATGGAAATATTTGTGTCATGTTGCCTACCTGACCAAAACTTCAGTGCCAACCCCACACTGACCCTTGTCATCATTTCCCATTTTTTTTTCAGTTGAGTAAAAGGTGACCCGGGCCCTTAAATAGTAGAAATGGAACCTTGAGGGATGGGGACGCAGTTCAGTTGATAGAGTGCTTACCCAGCATGTTTGAAGACTAATCCAGTCCCCAGTGCTGCATCGTCCAGATGTAGCGGCCCACCTGTCATCCCAGCACCTGGGAAGTGGACACAGGAGGATTGGCAGTGCAAAGTCATCCTCAGTTACCTAGGAAGTTCAAGGCCAGTCTGGGCAGCAGGACACCCTTCCCAAAGGGAGGTGGGGTGAGGAGTGGCACCTGAGACCAAATCTTCTGCTACCAGTTTCCTTCTCAGCTTTAGTCAGGGCTCTTGGTCACTCTCGGGTCCACAAGCTGAGTGTGGGAACTTATGCCTGTTGTATAGGTCTATTGCCAAAGTGACCCTTGACTCTCTCCAGGGCTCGGGGAGCCCAGACAGTGCATGGAAGCGAGGGAGAGTGCCAGTCGGTGGCTTTCATGAAAGGCACTGGAGAGCAGCAAAGGCCCTAGCCCAATGACCCCTTTAATACAGTTCCTCATGGTGTAGTGACCCCCAACCATGCTTTATTACTGTTATTTTGATACTGTTATGAATCATAATATTATATATCTGTGGGTTGAAATCTTTTTTTTGTTTGTTTTTTTTTTGGAGACAGGGTTTCTCTGTAGCTTTGCTAGCCTGTGTTGGAACTCTTGTAGACCAGGCTGGCCTCATACTCATAGAGATCCACCTGCTTCTGCCTCCTGAGTGCTGGGATAAAGGCGTGTGCCACCACCACCCAGCCTATACATCTGATATGTAACCCCAAAGGGGTCACGACCTACAGGTTGAGAACTACTGCCCAAGAGCCTCACCTGCCTCCAAGACGGAAGTGACAGGGACTCCATTGGGCTTACTCCGATTTTCTCTTTTCCTTTCCCTCTTCTTTCCTACTGGGTCACATATTCTGGGGCTGAGCCATCAGCAGCCAGCGCTACACACTAGAGGTTTGGAGTGGGCATTTATTTGTTCTGAGGGTCTTGAGGGCTGGCGGCCGATGGTCCAAGAAGCCGTGTGTTGTCTCCTCTTCTCTCTTGGACCTGAGGCCTGAGGGTTGAAGGAAAGGACTGAGGCCAGCCCTGTCAGCTGTCTGGGACAACACATTTGTGCCACAGGTAGAGGAAGTGTCCTGATCTGGACACTGTAGACAGATTAACTTTGTGTCTGATGAAGACTCGGAGGGAGAAGGAGAAGTAGGGAGAATCAGATTTCTGTGTTGTTTTAGGGGTGTTTTTGAAACTTCTTCTTCCTGGGGTGATGCTGACCACTGGTTCCTTACAAGTTAAAGGCATGAAGAGCCTCCAGGCAGTTTTCCTGTCACTCTCCCTCCTTCCCTCCCTCTCTCTCTTTATTATTTGCTTATTTCTTTGAGACAGAGTCTCACTATATCATCCTGGCTGGCCTGAAGCTTGTTACATAGACCAAGTTGGCCTCAAATTCAGGGATTTGCCTACTTTGGCCTCCTGAGTACTAGGATTAGAGGTGTGTGCCACCATACCCAGCTGCTTTTATTTCTGTCTAATATTAACTTTTATTGTTTATTTATTTGGGGGGCTTACTAATTTATTGATTCCTATACAGGATCTCTTGTAGCCAGGCTGGTCTCGAACTCATCATGTCTCTGCAAACCTGGCCTAGACTTTCTGATCCTCTTGTATCTACCTGCCAGATGCTACACTTACAGGCATGTACATCTCGTTCAGGCATTGCAAATCAAAGCCAGGGCTTCATGCATACTAGACAAGCATTATACCCGATGGGCTACACTGCCAGGCTCCTGCCAGACCCTGTAGCCCAGGTTTCCCTTGAAATCAAAGCAGCCCTGTTGCCCTCAGTCTCCTAAGTGCTGGAATTACAGGAAGGAGCTGCCACAGCTTTCCTTCAGACTCTTCCTTTACTGTTTCACTTTGTATTTGTTTATTTATTTGGCTGCAGGTTGAATCTAAGATCCAGCACTTTCCCAGGCCTTTTAAAATTGTTTTAAACTTTTGGACAAGGTCTCCCATTACCTAGGTTGGCTTGAAACCCACTCTGTAGCCTAGGCAGCTTGGATTTGTAACTCTTCTTCCTCAGCCTCCTAAATAGCTGGGATTGCAGGCTGTGCCCTCCAAGCCTTCTGCAGGTTCTTTTTTAAAATATGGTCTTCCCCAGGTGCTGTCCCGCTAGACAACTCCTGAATAATGACACGGAGACTTCTTATGAATTATGAAAGCTCAGCCTATAGCTCTTATCATATAAATTAACCCATTTATGCTAATCTGCGTTCTATCATATGCCGTTACCTCTCTTCCATCCTGTACCTCTCTGTGTCACCTGGCGTTGCCTGTGTCACCTCCATTCCTTCTCCTCTTCCTTTCTCTCCTCAGAAATTCGGCCTAAACTTCCTCCTAGTTATTGATAATTCAGCTTTTTATTACACCAGTCACAGAAAATACATCTCTACACCATGTACAAATGTCCCACAACAGCGGTGGTGGTGTACACTTTTAATACCAACACTCAGGAGGCAGACACAGACAGATGTCTGGACCTGAAGCAGTTAGAAGTGACCCGCAAGCTCTCCAGACACTGTCACCCACCTGCTCTGCCTCCCCCTGGTTCCAGGCCCATCTGGTAACGGGTCTCTCTTCCATGCCCACCTGGCAGGACTCAGAGACCGTGTTCTCACCATGCGGCTTCTCTGTGCGAAGGGCTAGAGGGCAGAGTTGATCAGATGGTTTTCTGTGCCATGCACGGCTCTTGGAGCACTTGGTGCCCCATACTAAGGCCTGACAACAGAGGACATGCCCACAGCATGATTCACAGGCCTTCTGTCTGCGGAGGCCAGTCGAATTATATGTTATTAATAAAAGCCACACAGCTGTAATATCCACGGGGGGAGGGGGGAATGGCTTGCTCTGAGCAATGTCCATTAATTGTGGCCAGGTGACAGTTGGCTTCCCATGGCTAGGTTAAGTAGAGTAAAACCAGACGAGGCCCCAGGCCCTTATTAAATGTCACCCCTGAGACCTATATCCACGGAGATGTTCATCCTCATTCAACCCCTCTGGAAGAACTTTTTATTATTTTTTTAATATTAAAAAGTATGTGCGGTGTGTTTTGTTTGTGTGTATAACTGTGCACCACATACATGCAGTGTCCAAAGAAGCCAAAGAAGGCGTCAGATCCACGGAGTTAGAGATGGTTGTGAGCTGCCATGTAGGTGACTGGAATTGAACTCAGGTCCTCTGGAAAAGCAGCCAGTGCTTGTAACTGCTGAGCCGTCTCTCCAGTCTTAGAAAGACTTTTTTTTCAAATGCAAATACGCCATTTTCCACCCTGCCCATTATGCCTTTCTGACATACTTTTTAACATCCAGCTCAGTCACAGTCTCTGCTAGAAGCAGGCAGTAACTTCCTCTTCCAGGCTTTCCTCATGGTTTGCCTCTGCCTCTGAAGAGCATTCTTTGTCAACATGGTTGATCCCTACACGACTTGTTCTGGTTGGTAACCCAGGGTTCAGTGCTGGCCCAGCACCACACATGGATGAATGGACAATCGCCCAGCTGAAAGAATCACCATTGCCTTCTGTTTCAATGGAGGGCAGACCACAAAAGCCTCTTCCCAGCCCTGCCCCGAGGAACCTTTCTCCAGAGTTCTCTGTTTCATGTCTGTTCCCCGCACATCGCACACCCGTGTTTGCATGTGGAGGCGTTCCTTGGCCGAAGGGGATGGGTGGCTCTGACATTCTAGTTACGCGAGCCTTGGGTGTTCCTTGAATGGAAGGGATGAGGGTGGGGGTTTTTAGGGCCCGGAAGTCCCAGTGCTAAACCATGACTGGATGTCAGACAGGAAGAGCAGGTTGGAGTAGGAACTGTTTATCAGTCCCCAGTCTTCCTTCCTGGCCAAAGTTACCAGAGGTCCCCCCAGAGGTCTTGGGGCTGAATGACACAGAAAGGAGGACCCAAGAAGGGCCTAGTCTTGTGCGTGGAGGTAAGCTACGATTGTGAACAGGAAGAGAGGTCAGGAGGCCCTGGGGATGAATATCTCAGAGTGAGGAAGGCTTAGACCCGGAGCTCTTTTTCTGACTCATCTACTTCCAAATGGGACAACCTGCGCTAGTCACTTCACCCTTCTGCGCTTCCGAGCTTTCGTCTGTAAAATGGGCGTTATCAACAAATTCAAACTGGGAGGTGGAGATGAGATCATCGGCTGGCCCTGACGCTGGGGAACCTGCAGGGGGCAGTACGGGAACCCGGGTCCTAGGAGGGCCGGGTGGGGCCGGAGTCCTGCCCCGGTGCCGGTTCCTCGGGCCCCCTTCGGCTGGTCTCCGCTCTGTGCGCGTTTCGGTGCCCAGGCCGGGCGGGATGCCAGAGTGGGCCGGGCTGCGCGCTGGCTGATTCGCGGAGGCGGGCTAGGCGCGCCGTGCAGAGCGAGCCGGGGACGCTGGGAGCCAGCGGGAGACGCCGGCTTCCACCCCTCCGGGCCGCGGCGACGGGCACCAGGGCCTGGGCAGCCTGGGTAAAGGCCTAGCTGGCTCGATCGCTCCTCCGGTCCCCGCTTGGGCGGCTGCGATGGGCTGGGGAAGCAAGAGTTGGGCTGCTGTGTCGCGGGAGCGGGCAAGTGGCACTGGGAGTTCTGCTGGAGCTTGGGTGCTGACTGTGGGCCTGCTGGCAGCTTCACTTTACTCCCTGAAGCCAAGTAGAAGTGGGAGAGCTGCTGGTGGGGGAGCTCTGCAAC